CCTCCTCCTCCCTTCATGCGCGCCACCAATTCTAGGGTGGGCGCGCCCTCGCGCCCGGGAGAGGTAGTGCTGTGGCACTACAGCGCCGACCTTCGGGGAGCGTCCTCGCCCGCCCGCGGGGGCAAAAGCTTACGCGCGGAATGCCGACGAGGTTTGGGATGCAGCTCTTGGGAGGTTTAATTCTGATTTTGCACTGGTCCGAAGTCCTGCTTAATCCCGCTTAATCTGGCTTAATCCCGTGTGATCCCGCCGAATCTGGGCTAGTCCCGCTTGATCCGAGGCCCATTCTGGCGTAATAGCTCCCAAGTAGGGTTTCATCCCCCTTTCCGACGAAAACCTCCCAGTAGTTGCGTCCTAAGAGGGGGGTCTGCTTTGGCGAGAGGGCGGGGCAGGGACATGGGGCGGTGCGACATGTGCTGCACGCACCTCCTCCTCCTCCTCCTCCTCCTCCTCCTCCTCCTCCTCTGCCTTCTCCCCCTCCTCGCTCATCCTCCTCCTCGCTCCTCCTCTCCCTCCTCAATCCTCTCTGCCGACCCCCCCTTTTCGCCCGCCCCGAGAGGAAGCGAGGAAGGAGGAGAAGCGAGGATGAGGACGGGGAGGACGAAATGGGCAGCAGTGACGTTGGTGATCTCCCTTCCCCCCCCGCCTGCTCTTCTTTGCCTTGCTCTCTCTCTTGCTTGGTTCGGTTGTGACCTGTCTGGCCGCTGTGTTCCGAACGACTGGCCGAGAGGAGTGTGTGCGGAGGGGGTAGTCGGTGCCGCTCCTCCCGTCTCCTTCTCCCCCCGCTCTTCTGCAGGCACCCCATACAGGGCTGGATGGGGTCGGTGGATGGCTCCGCATCGCAGATGCACATCGCCGATGCATCGGCGATGCGGCTCGATGTGGAGCCCACGTCGCCGATGTATCCTAGATGCTTGTGCGATGCAATGGCGATGCGACTCGATCCTCCGACCCCATCCACCCGGACCCCATCTTGGGACAGCCTCTCCTCAATCTCTATGTGTATATATACATAAATCCGCCAGTCCCCCCCTCCAACCTCCCCGTTCGAAGATTCGGGCGAAAAAGTTCTAGCCCAAACACAAAAGTGAAAATGGTCCAGCCGTCGACCAGGCAGAGGCCTACGTCCGTTGGCACGTGGAGCTAATGTGCTGAGTATTCATCTGCCGCCACCTCCTCTCCTCCGCCCTCACTGTCCGCCTCCTCCTCCCCCTTCCTGCTCCTCCTCCTCCTCTGTCCTCCTCCTCCTCTCCTCGTGTCTCCTCATCCACTCCGCCTCGTCCTCCTCACCCTCCTCTTCCTACTCACCGCTTCCTACTCTCCTCTCCATCCTCCTCCTGCTTTCTCCTCCTTCTCTCCTCCTCCCTCCTCCTCCCCTCCGTCTCTCCTCACCTCCTCCCCTCCTCCCTACCTCCCCATCCTCCTCCTCCTCCTCCTCCTCCTCCTCCTCCTTGTCCTCCTCCTCCTCCTCCTCCTCCTCCTCCTCCTCCTTGTCCTGTCCTGTGCCACCTGGGGCGCCGTCGCCCGTCGGAGGGGCACCAGCCTCCTCCCGTCTCTCCCCATGGGCCTGCCTCTCCCTGCCCCTCCCACTCAAATAATTCGGGGGCGGAAAAGAGGAGGAGGACGAGGAGGAGGAGGAGGAGGACGAGGACGAGGAGGAGA